ATAAGAATTTAGTTTCTTGACTAACAATATCTCTTATTTTTTGATAAAGACTTTGTGATTTTTAGGTCCTAAACACACATCTATTATAAAATAAAGTGAAGGATCTAAGGAGAGAATATAATCTTTATTTGGTATTGCACATAATTCCAATTGCATGGTCCATATTGTAGCAGAAAAAAACTCGTTTTTCAACACATTTTCTTTTGTGGCAATTATATTCGTCATTTTTTATATGCATTGCTTTTTTGAATAATATTGAGTAGTATTATTAGCTTTTCTAGAATATGAGCACAAATCCTTTTGACAACATTGAATCTTTTCTTACTCAATGAGAGGTTTAAAACATAATGTATCAATGTGCATTGATTTTGGTTTTAATAAATATGTTTTTGAAAGCTTAGGAATTGTCATTATTATTTTACTTCCACCAAATTTAGCATTGATGATTTTTCCTTCTATTTCAAATGATTTAATAAATCCACCAGTCAAATTAAATGAAGGTAATCTGCAATCTCTAATGTCAAATAAAAATTGTCTTAAAAAAAAGTCATCTACTTTTTTTGAAAAAAAACCACTATTAGAAAATTAAACTATTTGTTTAAAGATAGGTAATCTCCAACCTTCAAAATACAACAATAGAAGTGGATAATCTACTCACTTCTAAAATGAAACAAGAACAATAAGTTAGCACTTGTGTCAAATTGTGAAGAAAATGAATTTTGAAGAAATATAAGATCAAGACGTTCTTAGGTCAGTCAAAAATGATATGATATTAAACTAGAATGGCTATTGCTAAAGACAAGAAGATTAGAAAGACTTTAATTAAGACTAAAGACTAGAAAGGCATTGATAAGAATGAAGAAGGATTTACTATTGCTTCTATATATATTATCTAATTACAAACTACATAACAATATTCTATAGAATCTCCAATACATGTTGACTTTGTAAGACACATATTTTAACTTGCAATGCAAATTTTCTATATGTATGCTACGTAGTTAGCTTGTTCCATAAGCTACCAACACAAGTGCAATGTGATTGACTTGTTAACTAAGTTTTTAATCTATCAATCAACTACAAATACTAGTAAAGTCAAAATTACATCAATGAAGCTTCTAGGAAGCTTTCATAAAAAATACTATAAAAATATTTTATTTTAATCTACTTCTATTTAATTATATAGATAATTATTGAAATAAATACATATGACTATGATAATTAGTCTTTTTCTTAGGAATTCCTACTTTTAGCAAATATAATTGTAAAGATTGTTTAGACAAATTTAGAAATTATCAATACTAAGGACTTAATTGAACAATAAGATATAATATTGATTTATTTATTTATTTATTTGAATTTTAAATTTGATATATATAATATTAAGATTTAATATTGAATCAAAATAAATCAAATGGATTTGGATAGGTTATGGAATAAGGATCAAAAAGTTAATCATTTAATATTTAAAACAATTTAGCTACATACATATCTAAATCATTATATTCTGAATTGCTATTTTGCAAGTTTTTAGTGAAAAATAAATAAAAATACAACCATTTTGTAGAAGAAAACATTTGCAACTAAATCACAAATTTTAATGGCATTAGATGTTTAAATTGTCTTAATCTAAATATTTTTTTTCTAAGTTTGAAGTCTAATATGTTATTAATGTCTATTAAAATATAAAAAGTAAAGTGTATTAGTTATAATCTTTTTCTATTTAAGTGTAATATAAATCTTGTGTTTGTAACTTGCTACATCACAAGATTGTTGAAGTTCTAATTTATTTAGTGGTAATAAAAAATATTATATTTTAGCATTTAAAAATATAAAAGAGAATTTATTATCAATATAATTATTAATTAGAAATTTTTATATTATATATCAAAACTATAGTTTAAAAAAATAAAATAAAACCTAAGCTCTCATAAACTCAATCAGTGTCTAAAAATAAAATAATAAAAAGATATATGTATATATATATATATATATATATATACACACATTTTTTAATGTTTGATATGTATTACATTCAAATTCAACATGGTGTATTTAAAATTTACAACAATTATCAATGATGACTTGTATATTATTTTTTATTTTTTTATAATTGTTAAGTAATCAAATTCTAACATTTGGTTTTGATAGAGTGGATGTAAGCCACTAATGCAAATCCTGTCTACAAAAAAAATAAAAATAACATTGATGTTTCATATAAGTTATTGCACATCAATTAAATATAATCTCAACTTGTGATTTTTAAAATACATGATTATTATTATTATTATTATTTAGTATAGTTTTTTGTTCAATTTATTCATTGAATAATATTTAAATTAAAAAGGTCTAGCCTAAAGCTCAAAAGGATGACAAACTTTCAAAGATTCTTTTTACTATTAGATATTATGGGATGTATCTCTCATAGCTTTGTCTTTATAGATGAAGCCTTAAAAGATGATGATGGGATCACCACATTTTAATTACAATTAGAAATAACATCGCTAGAGTATCCACATATCAAACATTTAACACATAAGTCTATCTGAGATGTACTTTTTTCATATTGCAATTAAAATGACCTAAGACTCTAATGATTTTGAAACAAAACAATGTTTCCAATCTCACTCAATTTACTCAAATTTCATTTATCTTTTGAAAAGTTTAATAAATCTATACTAAGGAGTTCTCACACTTCTATACTTTGATAACTCATATCATGGTGGCATTATATTAGTGACCACACCAAATAAGCTGAAAAGCATACATGCCCATTGTTTTATAGATGCACAACAATATGTTGATTTCTTTGGTGAGAATTCCAGACAAAAAATAATAATGACAAAAAAGATTGTGTTATGCTAAATAAGTAGGAAAGAAGCAAAATGTGCCAAATGAAACCCATAATTTAGATATATACATATATATATATATATATATAGAGAGATATATATATATATATAGATATATAGATATATATATATATAGATATATAGATATATATATATATAGATATATAGATATATATATAGATATATATATAGATATATATATATATAGATATATAAGCTCAATGATTTTTTTTTTGGTAATTGCCTCAAATTTAACCACAAATCAGTTATCGCTATTAATAGCATTATTGTGAAAGTGGGAGTATTACCATTCATCCTCGCTGGCATTTCTGCCCATCCTTCAGAGAGCACAATGCCACTCTGGCATGTGGAGAGCTTGCTGACATGGCAGGTCTGTCAAGTGGGCACATACCCATCTTGCTTCCTTCGGGCTAAAATGATTGTTAACAAATAAACAAAATAAAATAAGGTCACAATACAATCTTTTCGGAAATTAGTTGTGCTGGCATAAAAGAATTGAAGTCCAACACTAACCAATCAATTCATTCTGATCAGATATAAAGTTCTTGTAAAGGTGAACAAATTTGTTGAAATGTACAAGTTTTGTTCCTACAGTTGGCTTTGCTTTTAGAAGGTACAACCCCAAAATTACAAGAAATTAATCTGTGGTGGCGATATTATTTCTAATAGTAAAGGCCGGAAGTTAAATGACAGTTATTTGTTTTAGATATTATTCTTATGTACATGCACCAGAAATTTCTATTGAATATTTGTTAAAATATGTAGATAAAAACGTTGTTATCAAACCAAATTCGGATTCTATGTAAAATGTCGGTTTAATTTTCTATCAACATTTTGCGTGTATGACATATTGGAGTTTCATGTATCATTTTTTTAGATCAACCATTTTTTTCACAAAAAGTAGATTGCATGGATGTATTTTGATGTTGTTGTGTTTTTCTTTTCTTTCTTTTTTTTCTATTTTATTTTATACACAATGCATTGATTTAAAGAGATAACACATACATAGATACATGCACTCAACAATTTAATGTTTGTTATTCCATTTCAATGTAATGTATTCATTTATTTATTTTATTTTATTTTCTTATCATGTAAATGCTTAAATCAACTCTATGAATGTAAAGCAGATGTGAAAAAAATTGTATTACTATTGTTATCCCAATTGTTTTGTTCTGTCCACTGCTAACAGTACTTTGTTGGAATAATAGAAATAAACAAGCAAACAAGAAAAAGAAAAGAAAAGATAAGACAGAACTAACTCTTTTGTTTGTTGAGTTGTAACTATTAAAAAAATAAAAATAAAAATAAAAAATGATTATTCGTAAGCCAGAAGTTATACAGCTATACTGCTAACATGTCTTCTAGTCACAAATCAATAATAATAATTAAAAAAACCACTTAAGCAAAGAAAAACCCCACTAGAATCTAATCTCTTAGTTCTCTATTATATATATATATATATATTTTTAAGCTTTATTTTCCACAAGTTATATTCTTCTTATAAAGTGCAAAATCCAATTTTAATTCGACAACACCTAATGACAAAAAAATGATCAACCGCTGAACTCAATTTCAACATCACGTCATTAAATTATCAAATTCATGTATGATTGGAAAATGTAGAAGAAAAAAGTGAAAAATCCTACAAACTGGACCCAAAGGAAACGTATAAAGTTCAATTCCAAGTCACACAATTGGCAAAATATAAAAGGCCACTCACTCTCAAAGTTCTGTGGAGGATCTTTTTGCCACTCGTTGCTTTTTCGAACCCAACCCGGCCCACACAGATCCCCAGCCCGCGCCCGGCCAGCGCCCCCCTAAAGAAAGCCTGCAGCGGGGCGTGATCTATGGGGGCGGGCATGTTCCATCCGCCGCCAACTCAACCCCCGCTTCGCTGCCCCTACGCCCGCCAAAACCGCGACTCACGCGCGCCTCGGCCCTACCACGGCCACGCACTTAGTTATTGACTAGTTAGTGTGTGTATCTCCGCTGCTCACCCTATCTTAATCTCACTCTATCCTACCGTGTAGATTCCTATCCTACTACCTCCACCTTCACTCCACCCGTGGCTCATTAATGCCGCGGTGGTTCACTTGGATGAGTGAACCACAGCTTCCTTGTCCCAATTCTGCGAACGCGCTAATTTGGTTGTACTGGGGGGAGTGTACCGCCGATTATTCACATCCCAGTTGCGTCAGTAAGACAGTGCGTTGCTCTTGGTTAACCTCGTGGGGTCGGGCGAGCCTGTTTAATCCGATCCTGGTTCCTCGCGGCCGCCTCACCTACTTGGAGCCAGTTTAAAAAGCGCCCGCACGGCCTTGCTCTGCACTCGCGACGTGAACCGAAAAGTGGCCAGCGAGCCTGCAAAGCGGGGGGAGGGGGGGATTGATTCCTTTCAAGGGTTTTGGGAACAGGTTTCCGTCGTTTGTCACTGGCATTCAGCTGAGGGAGTCGAGGTTTCTTGCCTCTGCTGCTGCGGTAAGGATTCCAGCCTTGGTGGCGAGAAGTGGAGGTTGTCGATGGATTTGGTGTGTAGATCTGAGGGAACGTGAAAGGATTTCGCTTTGCTGGACTGCTGAAGCCTCTCTCACGTTTGCTTTTCTGTAGTAATTTGGAGATTGTGGACGTCATCCAATCCTTAGGTGTGTGTGTGTGTGTAGATTTTACAGTGGAAGTGGGGGATTGATGTAAAATTCTCTTTGTGTCCGTTTTTGTTGACAGTCTGTTTTCTGTTTGGTCCTTGATCGTCTTTTGCGCGTTTCAAGGTTTGCGTTCGTGTCACCGTGATCATTATTCTGTCTAGTCATTGTAGAAAAGTATTTTCGGGCCAAGGATTGTAGCCGAATGGTCACTTTTCCCCTCGTGTCACTTTCTATCCAGTCCCTTTTTCTGCCTCCAAGATGCTTTGTGTGAGTGGCTGCAGACCATCGGAAGCTCTAATCAAACCTCACATGTCACGATTGCTTGTTTTTCCCGGCGCTGTCTACATCCAGACAACGATGTGACAGTCACTGAAGTGAGGGAGTTTGTGCAGCCCTACATTCTTCATCGTGAGTGTAGGATCTCACAAGAGCAGAATGTTTCCTATTACCGAGAATGTTGAGAGAAATGACTGCTAAGTACTTGACTGACGAGGCTTTTTGTTTTCGTTGCAGTTGTGGATCCCGCTCCGTTGAAATCATTTCGAACTTCCTTCTCGTTCTGGGACGCTTTCCGGGATTGTATTGCGGTAACGTCATAGATGGTGGCGCAGAGGAGTTTGATTCTCTGTGATGGGATCTTGATTTGGGGATATAGCTGTCTTTAGGACTTTGCCGCGCTCACGCGGGATTTTTATCAGTTTAGTGTTCGCCTCAGGGCAAGCGAATCCATCATGAACGTGCCGCCGAGGTCCTCATCTGCCGCGGAGCAGTTGAGTAAGCTAAGCTTAAAGGATGGTGCCGACGCGTCGAAGGAGTCAGTGAAGGCGATGGAGCATGCGAACGGAGACAAGGAGAAGGGATCTGGGCGAGAGATCGATGATTCCTCGAAGGATGTGACGAATGGTGACTCTACTAACTCAGATCACCACCACAAGGAGAGGCACCATCACAGGGATCGCCATCATCACTCGGATTCCCATCACCGGTCAAGTCACCATCACCGGAGCCCGCGTCGCCATCACCACCGCAGTCCTCACCGGCACCACGGGAAAGACGACGATAATAACTCCATTTCGAGCAATCACAAAGAAGGTGACGACAATATCTCTAGCACTAGCAGCCAACGTCGCCACAGGGAGCGTAGCAATGGGCATCACCATCATCACCACCAACACCGAAGCTCACGGTCGCCCGATCGTCACCATAGCAGCAGCCATGGGCACCGTCATCACGGTCATCATAGTAGCCATCACAGGGACCACTCGGGCGATCGCCACTCTAAGGATCGTCATGGACACCATCATAGCCGGGAACATGGACACCATAGCTCATCTCACGGACATGGCCAGAAGCACCACTCTCGTTCTCCGGAGCGGTACCACAGCAGCCATGGTCACCACAAGGATCACCACGGTCATCACCATGGTCATGGACAACATCACGGCTCGCATGGCCTCCACCGACACCACTCACGCTCTCCGGAGCGACATCACAGCAGTCACGGGCACCACAAGCACCACAAGGAAGGATCTGAGCACCACAGTCATCACTCCGGTGGGCATCGTCACCATCATCGAGACCACATTTCGGGCCACAAGCACCACTCAAGGTCGCCTGATCGCCATCGTAACAGCCATGGGCATCACCACTCTCGAGATCGTGGTCACCACAAGGAAGGCTCTGAACACCATAGCCACCACTCTGGGGGTCATCATCACCACCATAGCTCGGGACACAAGCATCACTCTCGCTCCCCGGACCGTCACCACAGCCGCCATCACAAGGACGGCAGTGAGCACCACAGCCATGGACACCATAGCCACAAGGAACATGGCTACGGTCCCCATGGCTCGGATCATCATGGGCATCATCACCACAAGAGCCACCACAGAGACGGGTCAGAGCACTCGGGAAGCCACGGACATCATAAGAGCCATCACAAAGACGATTCTCACAGCCACCACAGCTCTCATCACCATCACCGGGATCATGGTCATCATCACAGTGATGGGCACCATCGCAGTAGCCACCACAAGGACCATGGACATCACGGACATAAGGAGCATCACAGCAAGAAACACTATGATGACACAATTTCTATCTCCAGTGCGGGCAGCGATAAACACAAACATAGCCGACACCCCAACGTGTAAGCTACAGCTCACACGATTAGTCTGCAGTCAGTTCAATCTTAGTTTGCTTCTTGGCCCAGGTGCAGAGCTTTGCAGTTAGTAATTAGAAGCGACAAGGATCATAAGATCGTAATTTATAGTCCACCCATGTTGCTAAATACAGCAGTGTTTCAGAGACCATCGTCGCGATGAATCATAAGCACTGAGCTGCTCGAATGTCGTATCAGGGAATCTGATGGCTCACCACACCTTCGGCCATCACCCTCACAAGGATCCGATCGATTAGCATCCCAGCTCCAGCGAAATTCGTCAGGCTGGTCAGCGTCAGGAGTTTCACTGCAAAGTGATATTGTCGGTATTGCTAAAATGATTCAGACAATACCTGCCGTGATTGTGACTTCACTTCCTTCTGTGTAGTTAGGTGTTAGTCCAGCGATGTCACGTTCGCCGCTCGCAGTGGATTTTCATGCTGGTACATTTTCTTGTCTGTGAACCAATGTGAATGGTTGTCATGGCGTTCTGGTCTGGAGACTTTTAGACTCTATTGTTGGGCTGCGCAGTCGTGACTCAGGGCACTCAGCCATCGGCCAGACCTTTAGTCCAGGTAGCAGATAAAAGGGAAATTATACAAAGTTGAAACAATCTTCTTCCACAAATTCTCGATCACTTTGTTCAAAGCGTGTCGTCCATTAACAGGGCCGTAGTTTTCAATATTCTGATTTTCATAGCTTGAAGGAATGGGAATGGAATAGTGATTTCTACGATGTTCCTTGTGCAGAGTAACGTCATGGTAATGTGAAGATTGTATCTTACAGAATCATGGTGTCTTAATGAGGTTTTATAATTCAATCTTTTACTCACTATCAATCTGTTCTTTTGGAGCAATACAATTCAAAGATTTTTCTGGGTGATTTTTTAATTGAACTTTGCTTGAGTGGCATTTTTGTCTTCTTACGTTCATTTTCTCAAAAAAAATTTGGATGGATTTTGTTTGCCATATTCGAAAAGCAAACGAGGAAAATTTGAGCAACAATCGTTGTACACACCACATAAATTCCAAGCATACTTCTCATTTATTTGTTATCATCTCATACATTTATGTTTTTATTAGCTATAAAATATCATTGTTTCAAGCTTCTAGATGTGATCAATGGAAAGCCTTTTATTTTTTCAGCACCCTCCATGGAGGTCACACTTGTCTTCACTGATGCAGAGATAAACCATGCCCGGTGGCCATCCTCTGCAGATTTCTCAGATTCGTCATGAGGAGATGGAAAACTCAGTCTGCGATCTTAAGCCAAGAGAGCACTAAGCCAGTTCAGCTGTGAGGGTGAGTCCGCATTCTAGCTGAAGTACCTATTCAAAGAGCTCTAATGATATGGTGTTGCGGACTCGGCTGATTTTTGACGCTCGAGTCTTCAGTTATGAAGTTGATACCCGCGAAAGACTAAGCTTCCATTTTTTCTCCGGCTAGGTTCCTAGCTCGGGACAGGTGATCGCAGCTTCCACTGTTGCATCTTTGCAGCGAGTGACTCGCAGATGCGAAAGAAACACCACGAGCTCTGTCGGAGGAGGCATGAATATTAGACCAGTTTTTATTCTAGTGAGGGGCTGAAAATTGAAAGTTAGGTGTGGGGATCTGTAGCTATGGAGGAAGCTGCGGCTTCAAGCAACTTTGGGTCTTCAACCGGCACCACGCCGGAGCATTGTCAGCAAATGATCAACCGCTCCCTTTCTCGCAGTTAGTAGGCCCGCTGTCCCGTTTTCTTCTTCGCTTTCATGGCATCTTGTCTCTTGAACATCACCTGTAAATCAGTCTGGTGCAGGATTTAGGGTTTAGGGTTTACGTGCAAGTTGGACTGCGGTGCATCCGTTTTCCTACTCCTGGAAAGAAAACATCAAAATTCTTGGTAGTTTGTGCTGAAAACACTACGTGATTGGAGAGGTGTTGATTTCAGTGCGTGTGTTCTGATTTTGCAGATTCGACCGTAAAGTTTGTGCGAGAGGCACTCACCGAAGCGGGTTGCCCAGTTGCGGACAAGTTTTTCAAACCCGAGCGCTGCTCAATTCAAGCTGGAGGCGGTTTCAAACAAGATGAGGGGGTAAAGTCTCTTCATTGTAATTGTGGTTTTGGTCGCCTGACTTCTTCATCAATTCATTTGGCAGCATATAAGCTTCTCTTTGCTTACTCGTTTGATCAGAAAAGCTTTAAGTGTAACAGGTATTAGCGTCAGGATGTCTTCACATTCTTAGTCTTTCGTGCAATGGGTTCTGCGGAAAATGAAATAATACTTGCGTTTGAATAGGATTCTCGTGTGGACTTTCACGCCGAGGATCTGCATATGCACGTATTACCTGATTTAAGCTGGCATTAACCTGTCAACAAGCAACATGTTCAAGTGAGAATTGTATCATACTCTTTTTTGTACCGGGTATTCAGTTGGAATTCAATACTAGTATATATGATAATAGTTCTCCATGCTAGTACCTTGTGTTTTAGCTCGTGCAGTACCTAATTGCTTGTGTTGTTTGCAGATAGTCATTTGCAGCAATAATGTAACGCACCAAGACGAGGTGGACGTTGCACTGACACATGAGCTTTTACATGCCTACGACCACTGTCGTGCTGTCAATTCAAACTGGACCAATTGTGAACACCATGCTTGTAGTGAGTTATCACCCTCCTATGCTGTGAGACCAGTTGAATAATTCAATAATTGGCTTTTGGTGCACCACTTCAGTTTCAGCGTAATGTTATCGTCAATAACTATTGTAAGCTAATCTTGTTTTAACCAGAGTAACGGTCAACCCTCACAATTATTAAAGTGCAATTTATACAGATCAGAGCAGCCAATTTGAGTGGCGACTGCGCTTGGAAACGTGAGCTGCTTCGAGGCAACACCAACCTACAAAAGCAACATCAGGTACTTCACGATTGCTCTTAAAACTTTTGCTTTGGTTGATACTCAGTGGCCTTGCCAGAAAATCCATGTTAAAAGATAGTATTGGCCTCGGAGGAATAGCTTTCGTTGCTTGGGGTTAGTTCTTCAAGGCGATCTTCCTTTCCGTTGAGCCCAACAACCTCACAGTGTATGACAGCTTCACTACCACTTAAGTTGGACCTGGAACTATCAACCATTTTTTGTTGTATTTCAGCAGATATGTGTCAGGAGGAGGGCACTTATAAGCGTGAGTTTGAACCCGCACTGCTCAATGCACCGCTCAATGGCCGTCATTGATAGGGTTTGGAAGACGTGTTATAATGACACACAGCCTTTTGATAGAACCCCTTAAACTTGTACATCTGCAAAACAGATTCTCATATGAGTAATACTAGTTGCATGTTATCACACGCAAACAATTGTATGGAGGGGGTCAAAACTGCCTTACATTGTTTAAAGTGTCCCCATAACCTCCATCCGAAAATTGTCGGATTTGTTGAGAAAGTTTTAAAAGTTAAATCTAAAGAGACATTCGAAGATACTCTACTCTTTTGAATGATTATTGACGATGATAATCTAATACCATTATCACAGTTTTATGTGAATTCCTATGGCACATTTGATTCCAAATAAACCAACATTGTTCTAGATCAATACTACCTCTTGTTACATTCATGTTACATGTGCTATACAAAAAACCCTGTAGCCCCATTTTGCAGTGTATAGAAGATTACGATGAAACAACTCTACTTTTTCGACATTGATTGAGACTTCAGTTTTCATTCTACGTTTTCTTGGCAAAAATGGATTCTAAAAATGAATTAATGGTCACTTGTGTTAATAATGCATTTCAAACATTCAACATTTTAAGTCACACATAAAACTTTAATTGATTGTATGAATTGAATGGATTGTCACATGACTTAGAGTTGGGTGCCAAACCAAGTCACATAGACATAGTTATTAGACTATGTTAGTTTATAGAGTCTACTTTAGTTTAGAGAGTTTTCATTCATTTAGTATTTTATGTCAATTAGCCTTATTATTGTCAAATAAGGCTTAAAAGTATTAGGTGGAGAAGCTCCTTTCACTTGACATTTTTTGTCAAGTCTTGTAGGCATGTTTGAGAGATTCTTTCTTAAAGATTTTGCTTGGATATGGTGATTTAGTTATTAAATAAAGCTTAGTTTTTAATTTTTTAATTTTTTAATTTTTTTTATGCATACTTATATTTTTAGATTCTTTCTTTGCTTCCATTTGTAGCATAGGTTGTTCAATAATACTCTAGGATATTAGTGGTTTCATTGAAATTTTATAATGTCCTTTTTAATGCATAATCTAGTTTCCACTAAGAACAAATTGTTAATTCTTTTGTTAACATTGTACTTGTGCAATAGTATATTTGAAACACTTCTCAAATCTATAGTCTTGCGTCATTTGTTGTCATTGATGCGTGTTCTTTGTCTACAATGATAACATAGGATGTAGTTTTTTTTTTAGAAGCAACAAGCGAAGATGTATAGGGCACTAGAAGTTGCATGTAGGACACATGAAGCAATAAGCTAAGAGTATTAGAATACAATGGCACATAATAGATTAGGGCAACAATACATGGATGATATTATTTTCATCCATTCACCATTTTTCATGCAACTAAAATGATCTTATCTATCATATACATGTTATGTAAAAAAAAAAAATTATATATATATATATATATATATATATATTTGTTCCAAATTCTTGTATTAATGTTTGGAAGTTTACTCTAGGGCATACAAAGTCCAAACTTGACATTGTTTGAATTATTATTGTGTGAGATTTGCCAAAGAAGCCAGTGGTATTATCAATTTGACAATTGGAGGTTATTTAGAGTATTGAATTGGCATTTATTCAATATTTTTCTATTTTCAAAAGTAGTTATTTTTTCAACATTTCACCCAATTTGGATGTCCTATACCTTTAAAGATTTATTAGAGCATAATAGAGAATTTTTAGAGTTGACGCTAATATACTTGACACTTGTGGAGTGCATAATTTAAGGTTTTGGACCTTAGAGCAATCTTATTTATTATCACTAGTTTTGTAACTTGTGACATTCAACCATAGATATGTGTCAATTCTTCTAGTTTATTTGTGAATTTTTCTTCTATATTGTTGAGATGGAAATCTAGTTTTGATTTTTGGTTTTTACCTCCAACACCTTTCTCAAGTTGCAAGCATTATTATACTGTATTTGGTGTTGCTCCATTTTGTATTGTACATAGTCTATGTTTGGAAGTATATTGAAGGGATGATGTAAGATTGATTGCTAATAGAATCTTTTTGTTTGTATAAAATGTCCTTAAGCCATTAAATTATTGTAAATATTAAAAAAAAAAATTATGATGCAAATCAAGAATTGATATTATTAATGTGTTTTAAGAGACTACTTAGAAAATAACCACATTAATGACTTTGAGCCAATAATTGATAACAATAAGACTTCTTAACATATTTCAACATTAGATACCACTATGAGGTTTTGGGTTTGGAGAGTGAGCATATTTTATAAGATGAAAGATGATCCTTGCAATATGGTGAAAGATTGCTTCTCTTCACAAGTTAGATGCATTTTCTTGCCAAATTAGAATCTAAGCTTTTATACCTAGATAGAAGAAAATATCAATGGTTCTCTATTTTTAATGAGTGGTATGCATTTGAGTTATTTCCACTATATCTTTGCATGAGTAAAATGGACTAAGGAACATTTACTTCAATTATACAAGATAGACCACTATTTGGAGGCAAAAATAGAATTCATCTTTATTCTCAAAATACTAATTTGAATATGATTCCTACAATGAAAGATGGAAATCTATTAAAAATAGGGAATTTTTATTAATTCTTGTATTTTTATATTCTAAATTTCTTATATTTTTTAATTCTTAAATTAAAATTATTACATTATTTTTAAAATAGCATATTGACTTATTTTATAGATTTTAAAATAGATTTTATTCTTAAATCTATTTAAAAATTAGTTTTATTCTTAAATCTATTTAAAAATTAGTTTTTTTCTTAAATCTATTTAAAAATTAGTTTTTTTCTTAAATCTATTTAAAAATTAATTTTATCCTTAAATCTATTTAAAAATTAATTTTATCCTTAAATCTATTTAAAAATTAATTTTATTCTTAAATATACATAATAATAGAAATATAAATCAAAATAAAATATAAACACCATAAATATATATAGCTATTTTTAATAAATTTTTATTTTATAATTATACTATAAAATTTAATCTTTAAACCTATATATAAACACAAACACACTTACATATATATATATATATATATATATATATATTACCAGGAAACCATTGATTTTATATATTGATTACTACTACAGTTTTTATTTTTTCTAATTTAAATTTCAAACAAAAAACAAAACAAACCAAAACTTGTATTACAATACAGTCTGATTTATTAAAAGTAAAAAAACTAATAAAAGATTTTAAATTTTCAAGAAATAATCTATTTTTACCAAACTGTCATTTGCCATTGAATCTTTATCCACTAAAGTTCTTTTGATCTACTTATCACAACTTGGATTACAGATCTTTCAATAAGATTTTTCTTTGATAATTTTCTTTGATGTTTTGAAAAAAAATTAAAAATTAAAAATTAAATAAAATAATTACTAGTATTTTAAAAATAGAATTTTATTCTTAAAGGTTATTAATTAATATCTATAATCTTTTAGGATTTGAAACAATCAGCTATATTTAGTTTTTAAATTTTAAATTTATATTAATAATACATGTATAAAAAAAATTAGATGCTCATGTTTAATTTAAAGTGTATAAAGTTTCTTATGTTTAGATCGTAAAAAAATAAATAATAAATTTATGAAAAATAATATAATTTTAAGATTATAAGTTTTTAATTTTAACTTTTTTTATATTCTAAGTGAAATAATATAATTAACTTTAAAATTGAATGATAATAATTTGCAATCCAATGAATAATTTAATATAGCCAAGTCAAATCCTTAGATATTTTGATTTACTTCATATCAATATAGAATACACTTATATAAAAACATGCCTTTAAAATAAATTTTTATCTCTATAATGTATTTTTTGTATTAATTTTTAATTATTTTTATCAATAAACATTTAAGTCTACATCCATATATTTTAAAACATGAGATACTTGACTACACTTCGAACCAAACCTAGTAAACAACAAGCCGAAGCTAAACTAAATCAAAGATGTAATTTCTCATCAAATAAGGGCTCCATGTGCAAACATTGCATCTTCTCCCAAAACAATATAATATATTAGCTTCTTCCACAAACACTCTACAAACTGTGCACAAATATGTAAGAATTCATGCAAGACTGAATCCTTGCTACCCATTACACAATTGTTGCTTCTTTCACAAACATAGACGCTTCATAAATTTGTGCACAAATGTGCAAGCATTCCTACAAGAATGCAGCCCAGATGCAAAGAGAAACATCGCCACTCACAGTCAAGTTTCCTCAACAACGGTAGAAAAACAAAGCCTTAGGATATTCACAAACTGGGTTTGCAGATCAGTCGACGCCGAAGATCGCATGGATCGGAGCATGCATTGGATGGGTGGTGCACCTTGTTTCAGTGAACTTTATCTAGATGGTGGTCTGGTGTAGAGTAACCGAGTAGTTGTGCACTTTTTGTTTGACCATCACTCTGGGAGAGATACGAGGTCACGGCAACTTGTAGAGGGGTTTTCGCCTTCATTTGTGACAACCTCGGCGACTGCAGTTTTCGATGGAATCCACTATCCAGAGATCTCATACTTGAGCAATGGCTGGGCTTCGGCTCCCGAAGGTGACATATACAGCTCAGGCTTCGAAGACGTGAGTGAGGTGGACTTGGGTGATATGCCCCCCATACGCGCGTCTAGTCAACCAGTTACGATGCCTTCATTCGCTTCAGAGAACTGTGGAAAGCTGTTCAGGGGTAAGTGCTGCGGTCAACCACTTCCGAGGTCTGGCTAACGACTTTTATTGCGAGATATACAGTCACTGTTGGTTTTCTTTTGCAACGCAGACTTCACAGGTTTATCTAGATTCCGCCGTCGTGGTTGGCTAAGGAATCCTGGATATGACGTCAAGCTGTGCGTTTTCATTGACATAGCTACAGAAACGTCTCTGGCGAGAGGCAGAGGTCATGGATCAGCCTCCGCTGAGGTTGCACATGAACTATGAAGGAGGGGTACTCCAAGGATTTGAAGAACGTTTACGAGGAGACTTGGAGAAACGTCTCTGATCTCCACATGGCCGACCCAAATATAACGGTCGCAACTGCCCACTACGTAGAACATCGTTGGTGCGAGTGAGTCTCAGAGCTGGTGTGATGAAATGGTTACGGGAAGATTTTTCCAAGGTGATCAAGTATGGTCACTCATCTGTGGACAGACCGAAGATTTTTCCAGTAATTCCAGTTGTTTTCGCCTTGACAATGTTATTTCAGTGCCAGTGGCTAAATCCAGGTAGGTTTTCTTAAGGGCCATTCGGCCACATATATATATAT